GAATGACAGGTGTGTGGCGTCCTGAACAATAAGACTGTACAGTTTATGTCTGGTGTTACAATTGGACACGTTGCAAATAATTCCATTATGGATAAAATGTTATTTTGTTAAAATCACACAGTGTAGTGTTATACGGTAATATTTACTGATGACCAAGTTTCGAACACAAACTATTGCCGGTCACAGTCATTTCAAGGCACTACTCACATAACTTCCTGGCTTCGTTTATATACATGAGTGAAAATTGATGATTAGACATTTGAATAAAATCAATATAAGATAAAGTACATTCGGAAATAACATCAGCGTTATCAATAAAATACAACCAGATGGGAAATAAGACGAGTGTTTTTATAGTCAAAATAAATAACTTGTTAGAATGTTATAATGTGAATTGAATACATTTTAAAATTATTTACTATTCCCTGATTTGACTGGTGGTAATAACATCTTCCAGATCTCTGGTATTTGCGTCGAGTCATTCTCATTGCATGTGTTGGGTGTAGACTCGATAAACCAGGATTCAGTAATCAATCTCTCTCTACCTACCTATATTACTTCTAGGAATTTTAACCCTCTCCAACCCTACTGTATGGAAGTGTGTTAATCCATGCAGTGCAGTTGCTGAGCTTTTTTTCTAAATTACTCATCTGTCTTCGTGGGATCAATCATTCTAACCTTAGCCACTAAATTCTTATGTTCTGATAATCTCACTACTCCTGATCTACTAGTTTGACCTATGTAGTTCACCTAACTCACAGTCATTGCAAGGTATTTTGCAAATTATATTATTTTGTTTAATTTGGTCAACCGGCTTCTTTAGCCTACAGGGCTTGTCCTGCCTGAGTGAGTTTGTAGGTGTGAATGCCACTTTAATTCCTGCTTTATTGAGAATCCTGCAAGTAGGGCCTCAGATGTCCCATCCTTATATGGTAAAACTACTGTAGATGCCTTATATTCTCTCTTATTTATGTTATCATGATTAGTTTCACCATTATTTATATTTTGACCTATTTTGATCTTACTAATGAATTTTATGGGACAGTTATTTAACACTCACACCTCTTCTTCTATCTGTTTCATTTCATCATTTAGGTTTGGCGTTCGAATGGAAATGCGGTTGTGCTGTCCGTCACTTCGTCTTCTAACTGGTTCCTACTGATCTCTTGCTGCACTCTTACCCGTGTTGTACTCTTTTCAATCCGTAAGAACATTTCATACTCTTCCGGAGACTATTCAACAACCGGTACCTAACTTCTACCAGTGGACACCACCCCAGTAGTGGAACAGATCTCTGGCTTATTTTAAATAATTTGTAACGGTTGGACTATAACTGTTTGTATTTTCAAGTAACCATTAACTTTTATAACGTGTTGTCTGTACTTTTATAATGCACTGACTCAGAATTTTTCATTAACTCGGAGTTTTATCCCGATATTTCGTATCGTTATCGATTTTAATTGTTAAGTCCCCTACAGGTTCATCATTATAGATACCTTCAAATCAACAAATGAACTTTCTATGAAACATACCAAAGATCTGAGTTGTGTATAAAGCTAGGAACACAGCATTAAAACAATTCCAGCGTGTTTAAGAAAAAATCAAAACAAGATTTTCTAAAAACTTCATGCAATTCGTCGCATTAATAAACTTGAACAAAGCAAGAACAACAATTGTACCAGGATAATATGAGCTCATCTTTTATTATTTCGAGGATTCTTCTCAACTGGTTGCAACCTGAACGATAAAAAATATGAATTACATTACATTAAAGATTTGAACATAATTTTCCACGATCACAAGGAGTAATTGGTAGGAAGTAAAAGTGACATTAGTCTGGAATGATTTAACTAATTAAGAGTTACAAACACTGACTATTTATAGAATAATTCAAATGAACTGTGATCAATATCTGACAGTTTATAAATATATATATAAATTAGGCACTTAGGCTTGGAAACAAAGACAGAGTTGCATATATATATATGTGTGTGTACAGAAACAAGGTTTAGCTAGACAGAGCATAACAAAAAGGTAGATTACGTAACTAAAGAAAATGCTTTATCTAACAGCCAATAGAAAAGAAGGAAGAGAAAAGAACAAGAAAGGGTGAGTCATGTTTAGATGAGAGAATAGAGTTTTCTAAACAAGAAAAAGGTGACTCATACAAGTTGTATATTTTGTTGTCACCAGGGCAGTGCAAGATTCACCACTGTCTCTTTCTGCGTACATACATTTGGTTTAAGTCGTCTGATAGCAATTGCTTCAGCAAAGCGTAGCAAGTTAGGTTTCTTTTGCTTGTTGATTATTTTGAATGACTTCAAGTTGTCTACATTATGGCCAGTGTCTAATAGATGACGTGCAACTGCACTGTTTAATACTTGTGGACCTTTCAGTCTCAGGTTCTTTGGTATGTGTTCAGAAATGCGGACAATAACCCTCCTCTCTGTTCTTCCAATGTATGTGCTTTGGCACGTACATGTAAATTGGTAGACACAGTTGGAGGTAACATGATTTTCAAGATACAAGGTACAAGATTTTCTTTCTGAACGTTTCGCTGTGTAAGCCACAGCTTCTTCCTCAGCAGATTTATTCGGATTTTATTAAACATCAAAATATATAGTCAAAAATGTTTACATAAATTGAAGTCAATTCCCTTGAAGGTTACTGGTTGGTAGACATTTGTACCAACAGAAAAATGTATAAACAGTCATCGCATATTTGTAAATGACCAGTGTTAAATTGTCATATATGCGTATTTGTCTGTATGATTGTGTGTGTGCGTGTGTACGCGCGCATGTTGTTTGTTATGCGGAAAACACGTCAAAACATGATAATATTTCATAATATGTTCATCTGTCTCGCTTTATTAGAATCTGCCATATAGGTGATAAGTCTACCTCTTCTCTCCTATTTATTGCATTCGATGTGGCTAAAATATGCAAGACTGTCTTCAGAGGTCAACCTTTCTCTATTTTTGAACAAAGAAAGAAGAAACATTGGCACAGAATAATCTGGATCCATTTTATTTCGTCGGTTCTCATCAGCTGCATACAACCTGAATTCTTTAGTAAAATAACAAACTTTTGTCCATTAGCAAGTATATTGTCAGAGCGTCATAGTGAAATAAGGCGTTGCGATTTACAAGGTGTCTAAAGTGTTACGACATATATATATCTTGTTAGAGAGAAGTTTCTTGAAGAAAAATTAATTAACAGTTGTGTTGTTGGGGTGATAACAAAAGAAAATTAGTAATAGTTACGTAATTAGATAAGAGAAGATCAAAATTTCGGTGCACATGAGGTCAGATGAGAAGATGATGATGTAATACAGTGAGCAGAACTCAGAAGATCAAGAAAAATTATCTCTTAAGAGAGTCAAACGAAACATAAAGGGGGGGTGAAAAGATAAGTTAACAAAATTAGAAAACAAAGAGTTAATAAGAAGTCAGTTACCAGGGTAACTGAAGTCCAACGACGGATTCTTTTTGGACACATAAGTCAGGCTTCAATCGTTTTATTGCTATTGCTTCAGGAAACCTGAGAAGACTTGAGGTACTTTGTCTGTTAATTATTTTGAATGACTCCAGCGCATCTAATTGGTGTCCTGTGTCAATCAGGTGTTTGGCGATTGAAGAGCTTAAACAATTCAGTCCCTTTAACCGGAGGCTTCATGGTACATGTTCGCAGAATCTGACGTAGGCCCTCCTCTCTGTTCTTCCAATGTAACTGCTCTCACAGATA